TGCGAAGAGCCTTGGCGTGACCCTGGACAACACCCTGTCGTTCTCTGCTAACATCAAGGCGGTGACCCGATCCTGTAGGTTCATGCTCTACAACATTCGGAGAGTACGACCCTGCCTTACACAGGAAGCGGCACAGGTCCTAATCCAGGCACTTGTCATCTCCCGTCTGGATTACTGCAACTTGCTGTTGGCTGGGCTCCCTGCCTGTGCCATTAAACCCCTACAACTCATCCAGAATGCCGCAGCCCGTCTGGTGTTCAAACCTTCCCAAGTTCTCTCACGTCACCCCCGCTCCTCCGCACACTACACTGGCTTCCAGTTGAAGCTCGCATCTGCTACAAGACCATGGTGCTTGCCTACGGAGCTGTGAGGGGAACGGCACATCCGTACCTTCAGGCTCTGATCAGTCCCTACACCCAAACGAGGGCATTGCGTTCATCCACCTCTGGCCTGCTGGCTCCCCTACCTCTGCTGAAGCACAGTTCCCGCTCAGCCCAGTCAAAACTGTTCGCTGCTCTGGCACCCCAATGGTGGAACAAGCTCCCTCACGACGCCAGGACAGCGGAGTCACTCACCACCTTCCGGAGACATTTGAAACCCCACCTCTTTAAGGAACACCTGGGATAGGATAAAGTAATCCTTCTAACCCCACCCCTTACCCCCACCCCACCAAAAAAAAAAAAAAAAAAATGGTTAAGTGGTTATATATATTAAAGTGGTTATCCCACTGGCTATAGGGTGAATGCACTAATTTGTAAGTCGCTCTGGATAAGAGCGTCATCTAAATGACGTAAATGTAAATGTAAAGCAGTCACCAGAGAGAAGACCTCTGCCAGAGAGAGAGCAGCAACTAGAGAGAACAGCCACCAGAGAGAAGACCTCTGCCAGAGAGAGAGCAGCCACATGAGAGAACAGCCACCAGAGAGAAGACCTCTGCCAGAGAGAGAGCAGCCACTAGAGAGAACAGCCACTAGAGAGAACAGACATTTACATTTACATTTACGTCATTTAGCAGACGCTCTTATCCAGAGCGACTTACAAATGGGTGCATTCAACTTATGATAGCCAGTGGGATCACCACTTTACAATGTATTTATTTTGGGTGGGGGGGTGGGGGGGGTTAAGGGGGGGGTAGAAGGATTACTTTATCCTATCCCAGGTATTCCTTAAAGAGGTGAGGTTTCAAGTGTCTCTGGAAGGTGGTGAGTGACTCCGCTGTCCTGGCGTCGTGAGGAGCTTGTTCCACCATTGGGGTGCCAGAGCAGCGAACAGTTTTGACTGGGCTGAGCGGGAACTGTGCTTCAGCAGAGGAAGGGGGGCCAGCAGGCCAGAGGTGGCCTGCCAGCAGGCCAGAGGTGGCCACTAGAGAGAACACCTCTGCCAGAGGTGTTCTGTGTGTGTGTGTGTGTGTGTGTGTGTGTGTGTGTGTGTGTGTGTGTAAGGGACGGTTGTGGTTGAGGAAAACAGTGAATGTATTTGCATAGATTTTATTTTAATAAATACAAATTTGACTTGAGGCAGACAGACAGACAGATACCAGATGATTTTCCCTGATGTCTTGAGATCCCTGAACGTAATGGGAACAAATCACACATTAATACATCAAACACTCCGCATGTTCACAATGTATACAATAGTATTAAAAGATGAGAAATTAAATAATATAAAAGTAGTATTAGAAACGTTATAATGTCAAAGTTGAAAAAGAGCTCCACCATGTGCCGGTTTAAATATATTGGTCCAACTGTTGTAGTGATGGGGTTGTAATTATAGTGAGATAAGGTCCACTATATACTGTAGGTCAGTAAATCAAATGTTTGACCTATTGCCTCACCGGTTACAATTGAGCTGAGTGCCGGGAAGAGGTGGTGGGAAAGGGGTCAGCAGCCACCTCCTCTGGGGGTACCCCTTGTCAACAACATTGCACTCAAACAGCATGTTGAGGCACCTCTCACTGAGCACTCTGGAGTCATGTGTAGATCCAACATCATCATCATCATCATCAGTACTTTCTGAAGGCACTGTATATTTATATTCCAGACTCTGACATTTCTCGTTCAGATATTTTTTTCCTTTTGTGCGTATTGTTTAGTATAGTTTTCTAGGTAGTATTACTGCTCTGTTGGAGTATTACTGCTCTGTTGGAGTATTACTGCTCTGTTGGAGTATTACTGCACTGTTGGAGTATTACTGCACTGTTGGAGTATTACTGCACTGTTGGAGTATTACTGCACTGTTGGAGTATTACTGCACTGTGGGAGTATTACTGCACTGTTGGAGTATTACTGCACTGTGGGAGTATTACTGCAATGTTGGAGTATTACTACACTGTTGGAGTATTACTACACTGTTTGGAGTATACTGCACTGTTGGAGATACTGCACTGGGAGGATTAATGCATCTGTGGGAGTATACTGCACTCTTGGAGTAGGCATTACTGCACTCTTGGAGTATTACTGCACTCTTGGAGATTACTGCACTTTGGAGGTATAATGCACTCTTGGGTAGTGAAGTTAGACTGTACTGTTGGATATTACTGCATCTGTGGGAGTATGAATGCACTGTTGGAGTATTTGCACTGTTGGAGTATTATCACTGTGGAGTATTACTGCACTGTTGGAGTTTTAGCAACTGTTGCGTATTACTGCACTGTTGGAGTATTACTGCACTGTGGGGAGTATTCTGCACTGTCTGGAGTATATGCATGGAGTATTAACATGCACTGGGGAGTATTACTGTACTGTTGGAGTATATGCACTGTGGGGTATTACTGCACGTGGAGTGAGTATTACTGCACTGTTGGGTATTACGCACTGTGGGAGGTTCTGCCCACTGTGGAGGCTTACTCACTGTTGGAGTAGTACTGCACCGTTGGAGTATTACTGCACTGTTGAGAGTATTACTGCTCTGTGGAGTATTACTGCCACTGTTGGAGTATTATGCACTGTTGGAGTATTACTGCCATGTTGGAGATACTGACTGTGGAGTATTAATGTACGTTGGTAGTTATTACTGCACTGGTTGGAGTATACTGCAATGGGAGTATGACTGCACTGTGGAGTATTACTGCAATGTGGAGTTTACGGCACTGTTGGCGTGGAGTATTATGCACTGTTGGAGTATACTGCACTGTGGAGTATGACTGCACTGTTGGAGTATACTGCAATGGTGGAGTATTACTGTAATGTTGGAGTATACTGCACGTTGGAGTCTTAAGCCACTGTGAGTTTTACTGCACTGTTGGAGTATTACTGCCTGTTGGAGTATTACTGCACCGTTGGAGTATTTCTGCACCGTGGAGTTATACATGCACTGTTGGGAGTATTAACTGCCACTGTGGGAGTATACTGCATGTTGGAGTATTACTGCAGTTGGAGTATTTACGCACTGTTGAGAGTACTGCACTGTGGGAGCTTACTGCAATGTTGGAGTATTACTGTACTGTGGAAGTATTACGGTACGGTGGGAGTATTACTGTACTGTTGGAGTATTAATGCACTGTGGGAGGATTACTGCACTGTTGGAGATTTATACTGTACTGTTGGAGTATTTACTCAATGTTGGGAGTATTACTGTACTGTTGGAGTATTACTGCATGTTGGAGTATTAATGGCACTGCTGGAGTATTACTGCACTGTGGGAGTATTAGGCAGTTGGGAGTAGTACTTGCCCACTGTTGGGTATTACGCATGGTGGGAGTATTACTGCATGGTGGTGAGATTAAATGCACTGTTGGAGTATTACGCTACTGTTGGGTTTACGCACTGTGGGAGTATTACTGCACGTTGGAGTATATGCAGCTGTGGAGTATTACTGCGCTGTTGGAAGTCATTACTTTCACTGTCGGAAGATATGAAGATTAGAAAACACAAGCATTAGATATATCACTGTCGGAGATGATAGAAAACACAAGAATTAGATAGTATTCACTGTCGGAGAATAGTAGAAACACAAGCAGTAGATATAAAAAAAAACTTCCACTGTCGGAGCTAGAAACACAAGCATTAGATATACTTCACGTGGAGCTAGAAACCAAGCATTAGAATACTTACCAAGACTAACCATTAGACAAGACGAAATTCCCTGTTCCCAAGGTGACAGGATTTTGAAGTTGGCAGACGGGGCTGAGACGCGTTCACCTCAGCTACATTTCAGGTCATGTGTCGGTTTCATGTGTGTGGTGTGTGTGTGTGTGGTGGGTGTGTGTGTAGTCAGTGTTGTGTGTGTGTGTGTCTGTTTCAGAGTGTGTGTGTGTGGGGTATGGGGTGGGTGTCTGTTCAGAGTGTGTGTGGTGTGTGTGGTATATTCAGTGTGTTGTGTGTGTCTGTAAGAGGTGATGGTGTTTTGTGTGTGTGTGTGTATTAAGTGTGTGTGTGTGTTCGGTTCAGAGTGTGTGTGTGTGTGGTGTGTGTGTCTGTTCAGAGTGTGTGTGTGTGTGTGTGTGTATATTCAGTGTGTGTGTGTGTGTCTGTTTCAGAGTGTGTGTGTGTGTGTGTCTGTTCAGAGTGTGTGTGTGTGTGTGTGTTGTGTGTAATATTCAGTGTGTGTGTGGTGTGTCTGTTCAGAGTGTGTGTGTGTTGTGTGTGTTCAGAGTGTGTGTGTGTGTGTATATTCAGTGTGTGTGTGTGTCTGTTCAGAGTGTGTGTGTGTGTGTGTGTGTGTGTGTTCAGTGTGTGTGTGTTTCTGTTCATAGTGTGTGTGTGTGTGTGTGTGTTCAGTGTGTGTGTGTGTGTGTCTGTTCAGTGTGTGTGTGTGTCTGTTCAGAGTGTGTGTGTGTGTTCAGTGTGTGTGTGTGTCTGTTCAGAGTGCGTGTGTGTGTGTGTTCATTGTGTGTGTGGTGTGTGTCTGTTCAGTGTGGTGTGTGTGTCTGTTCAGAGTGTGTGTGTGTGTGTGTGTGTGTGTGTGTGTGTGTGGTGTGTGTGTGTTCAGTGTATTCATTCCACCTCTGTAGTAATCCTGATCTTCCTGATGATAACCCAGTCATTCTGATTGGCTGTAACTCTTATCTTCAGACAGGAAGAGGCGTGGCCAGATCTCTTCTTGTGTATGTCCGTCATGTTCATCTTCCCTCCCTGCAGATCCCCCACGCTATAGAACTCCTGGCACGTTATCCCCAACCCAGTCTTCTCAGTTACCGGGTGGAGACCCAGCTCCACGGTCGCAGATGCCAACTGGTCACGACCCTCTGCTGACCCTGTCACCACGATAATGCCGGTAACCACAGCAGGCTGTTTGAAGGCGACGGTTAGGTGGTTCCCTGAAAAGGGACTCCGCCCCCAGAAGAATGTTCCAGTACCGGGAGACCAGGCCATGGCCGCCACATGGTCCTCATAGGCTAGACACACAGACACAGAGATACATGTTAGATATCAAATCAAATCAAATGTTATTTGTCACAGGCACCAAATACAACCTTCCAGTGAAATGCTCTTTATATAGCCAGACCAGAGCCGCCACAGGGTCCTTATGGGGCCTTTCCACACTGCATTGTGTGTGTGTGTGTTTCTACCTGGTATGTCACTATAGACATCAGCAGGAGGGTTGGTGTAGAGGTCCGCCTCAAAGTCTTCGTCCTTCAGCTTGTTGAATGTCCCCAGGAACGAGGAGTATGAGCCCATGTGTTGAAACAGTGAGGGCGTGAAGCGGATCGCCTCACCCTGTGTCAAAAGCACCCGGAAGTGACTGAACAGGAAGTCGCAGGGCATTTCCTGGTAGAACAGGAAGAGGAAGCGTGAGAGGAGGGGGAGGTGTTCTGAGTGGTACAGCTTCCCGATGTAGCCCAGCGCTGAGAACTCCAACGTGGCCCAGGGTACTCCGCCCACCACTTCCTGTTGCTGGACACGCCCCCTGATGGCAGACAGGAAGTTCTGCGAGCAGGAGACGTCGTCCTCCAGCTGCAGGTAGAGCAGGCTCCGCCCAGCGCAGAACTGAAGCAGGAAGCTATAGTCAACGTTCTGTTTGGAGCGAAACGTCACACGGTCTGCGTTGTCATTATAGTTCCTTTTCAGGCCTAAAACATAGAAACAACTAGTTAACCATCTCACCAACTAACCGACTGTCCAGCTAACCGACTGACCAGCTAACCAACTGACCTGTTACTAGTGGGTAGTACTGCTATTGTACCTGTTAATGGTGGGTAGTACTGCTTGGGGGCATGTACCACCAATAGCTGCTCTGCCTCCAGCTGGGAGGGGAAGGTAGCTGTAATCTCCCCCAGCGTGGTCTCTCTCCATTGGGCATCGAAGTCTGCCAGCAGTACCACCACCACCATGGAGCTCAGCTCTGCCGGGGAGGAGCGGGAGAAGATGGAGGACAAGGTGGAGATCAGATAGGTGCCTTTAGGACGACTCACGGAGCACAGCCCAATGGTCAGGTACTCTGGAGAGAGAGAGAGAGAACAGCCTGATGGTTAGGTACTCTGGAGAGAGAGAGAGAGAACAGCCTGATGGTTAGGTACTCTGGAGAGAGAGAGAGAGAACAGCCTGATGGTTAGGTATTCTGGAGAGAGAGAGAACAGCCTGATGGTTAGGTACTCTGGAGACAGAGAGAACAGCCTGATGGTTAGGTACTCTGGAGAGAGAGAGAGAACAGCCTGATGGTTAGGTATTCTGGAGAGAGAGAGAGAACAGCCTGATGGTCAGGTACTCTGGAGAGAGAGAGAACAGCCTGATGGTTAGGTACTCTGGAGAGAGAGAGAGAGAACAGCCTGATGGTTAGGTACTCTGGAGACAGAGAGAACAGCCTGATGGTTAGGTACTCTGGAGAGAGAGAGAGAACAGCCTGATGGTTAGGTATTCTGGAGAGAGAGAGAGAACAGCCTGATGGTCAGGTACTCTGGAGAGAGAGAGAACAGCCTGATGGTTAGGTATTCTGGAGAGAGAGAGAGAGAACAGCCTGATGGTTAGGTACTCTGGAGAGAGAGAGAACAGCCTGATGGTTAGGTACTCTGGAGAGAGAGAGAGAGAACAGCCTGATGGTTAGGTACTCTGGAGAGAGAGAGAGAACAGCCTGATGGTTAGGTACTCTGGAGAGAGAGAGAGAACAGCCTGATGGTCAGGTACTCTGGAGAGAGAGAGAACAGCCTGATGGTTAGGTATTCTGGAGAGAGAGAGAACAGCCTGATGGTTAGGTACTCTGGAGAGAGAGAGAACAGCCTGATGGTTAGGTACTCTGGAGAGAGAGAGAGAGAACAGCCTGATGGTTAGGTACTCTGGAGAGAGAGAGAACAGCCTGATGGTTAGGTACTCTGGAGAGAGAGAGAGAGAACAGCCTGATGGTTAGGTACTCTGGAGAGAGAGAGAGAACAGCCTGATGGTTAGGTACTCTGGAGAGAGAGAGAACAGCCTGATGGTTAGGTACTCTGGAGAGAGAGAGAGAGAACAGCCTGATGGTTAGGTATTCTGGAGAGAGAGAGAGAGAACAGCCTGATGGTTAGGTATTCTGGAGACAGAGAGAGGAGACAGCATTCCCTCCCCCATATGCCCCCCTAGGCACAACTACGACAACATAACCAACAAAAACAGGTCACAACTCCTACAGCTCTGTCGCACTCTGGGTATGTACATAGTCAATGGTAGGCTTCGAGGGGACTCCTATGGTAGGTACACCTATAGCTCATCTCTTGGCAGTAGTACTGTAGACTACTTTATCACTGACCTCAACCCAGAGTCTCTCAGAGCGTTCACAATCAGCCCACTGACACCCCTATCAGATCACAGCAAAATCACAGTCTACTTGAACAGAGCAATACTGAATCATGAGGCATCAAAGCCAAAGGAACTGAATAATATTAAGACATGCTATAGATGGAAGGAAAGTAGTGTCGAAACCTACCAAAAAAACAATTAGGCAACAACAAATTCAATCCCTTTTAGACAACTTCCTGGACAAAACGTTCCACTGTAATAGTGAAGGTGTAAACTTGGCAGTAGAAAACCTAAACAGTATATTTGACCTCTCAGCTTCCCTATCAAATCTAAAAATCTCTAACAGAATACCGAAAAGTAACAACAGTGACAAATGGTTTGATGAAGAATGCAAAAACCTAAGAAAGAAATTGAGAAACCTATCCAACCAAAAACACAGACACCCAAAAAACCTGAGCCTACGCCTTCACTATGGTGAATCACTAAAACAATACAGAAATACACTACGGAAAAAGAAGGAACAGCACGTCAGAAATCAGCTCAAAGTAATTGAAGAATCCATAGACTAACCACTTCTGGGAAAATTGGAAAACACTAAACAAACAACAAAGAGCTATCTATCCAAAATAGAGATGTATGGATAAACCACTTCTCCAATCTTTTTGGCCCTATAACAAAGAACAAACAGCAAAAACATATACATGATCAAATACAAATCTTAGAATCAACTATTAAAGACTACCAGAACCCACTGGATTCTCCAATTACATTGAATGAACTACAGGACAAAATACAAACCCTCCAACCCAAAAAGGCCTGTGGTGTTGATGGTATCCTCAATGAAATGATCAAATATACAGACCACAAATTCCGATTGGCTATACTTAAACTCTTTAACATCATCCTTAGCTCTGGCATCTTCCCCAATATTTGGAACCAAGGATGGATCACCCCAATCCACAAAAGTTGGGGTTCGGGGAAAAACATACGACATTATAAAATCCATGTACACAAACAACAAGTGTGAGGTTAAAATTGGCAAAAAACACACTCATTTCTTTCCACAGGACCGTGGGGTGAGACAGGGATGCAGTTTAAGCCCCACCCTCTTCAACATATATATATATATATCAACGAATTGGTGAGGGCACTAGAACAGTCTGCAGCACCCGGCCTCTGAAGTGAAATGTCTACTGTTTGCTGATGATCTGGTGCTTCGGTCACCAACCAAGGAGGGCCTACAGCAGCACCTAGATCTTCTGCACAGATTCTGTCAGACCTGGGCCCTGACAGTAAATCTCAGTAAGACAAAAATAATGGTGTTCCAAAAAAGGTCCAGTTGCCAGGACCACAAATACAAATTCCATCTAGACACCGTTGCCCTAGAGCACACAAAAAACTATACATACCTCGGCCTAAACATCAGCGCCACAGGTAACTTCCACAAAGCTGTGAACGATCTGAGAGACAAGGCAAGAAGGGCCTTCTACGCCATCAAAAGGAACATAAAATTCGACATACCAATTAGGATCTGGCTAAAAATACTTGAATCAGTTATAGAACCCATTGCCCTTTATGGTTGTGAGGTCTGGGGTCCGCTCACCAACCAAGAATTCACAAAACTGGGACAAACACCAAATTGAGACTCTGCATGCAGAATTCTGCAAAAATGTCCTTAGTGTACAACGTAAAACACTAAATAATGCATGCAGAGCAGAATTAGGCTGATACCCGCTAATGATCAAAATCCAGAAAAGAGACGTTAAATTCCCAAACCTTCCATAACAAAGCCATCACCTACAGAGAGATGAACTTGGAGAAGAGTCCCCTAAGCAAGCTGGTCCTGGAGCTCTGTTCACAAACACAAACAGACCCCACAGAGCCCCAGGACAACAACACAATTAGACCCAACCAAATCATGAGAAAACAAAAAATAGAATTACTTGACAAATTGGAAAGAGTTAACAAAAAAACAGCACAAACTAGAATGCTATTTGTCCCTAAACAGAGAGTACACAGTGGAAGAATACCTGACCACTGTGACTGACCCAAAATTAAGGAACGCTTTGACTATGTACAGACTCGGTGAGCATAGCCTTGCTATTGAGAAAGGCCGCTGTAGGCAGACCTGGCTCTCAAGAGAAGACATGCTATGTGCACACTGCCCACAAAATGAGGTGGAAACTGAGCTGCACTTCCTAACCTCCTGCCAAGAGACACATATGTCCCTCAGATTACAGAGATCCACAAAGAATTCAAAACAAACCCAATTTTGATAAACTCCCTTATCTACTGTGTGAAAAACCACAGTGTGCCATCACAGCAGCAAGATTGGTGACCTGTTGCCTCAAGAAAATGGCAACCAGTGAAGAACAAACACCATTGTAAATACAACCCATATTTATGTTTATTTATTTTCCCATTTGTACTTTAACTATTTGCACATCGTTACAACACTGTATATAGACATAATATGAAATTTGAAATGTCTTTATTATTTTGAAACTTCTGAGTGTAATGTTTACTGTTAATATTTATTGTTTATTTCAATTGCTTTGGCAAAGTTAACATACGTTTCCCATGCCAATAAAGCCCTTAAATTGAATTGAGAGAACAGCCTGATAGTCAGCTCTGAGAGAGAGAGAAGCCTGACAGTCAGGTACGAGAGAGAGAAAGAGAGAGAGAGGAGAGGAGAGAGAGAGAGCGAGAGAGACGGGACAGTAGTTATAGTCATGTTGTACCTCGTTTCCCTCCTCCAGGGAACAGTAGTTATAGTCATGTTGTACCTCGTTTCCCTCCTCCAGGGAACAGTAGTTATAGTCATGTTGTACCTCGTTTCCCTCCTCCAGGGAACAGTAGTTATAGTCATGTTGTACCTCGTTTCCCTCCTCCAGGGAACAGTAGTTATAGTCATGTTGTACCTCGTTTCCCTCCTCCAGGGAACAGTAGTTATAGTCATGTTGTACCTCGTTTCCCTCCTCCAGGGAACAGTAGTTATAGTCATGTTGTACCTCGTTTCCCTCCTCCAGGGAACAGTAGTTATAGTCATGTTGTACCTCGTTTCCCTCCTCCAGGGAACAGTAGTTATAGTCATGTTGTACCCCGTTTCCCTCCTCCAGGGAACAGTAGTTATAGTCATGTTGTACCCTCGTTTCCCTCCTCCAGGGAACAGTAGTTATAGTCATGTTGTACCCCGTTTCCCTCCTCCAGGGAACAGTAGTTATAGTCATGTTGTACCCCGTTTCCCTCCTCCAGGGAACAGTAGTTATAGTCATGTTGTACCCCGTTTCCCTCCTCCAGGGAACAGTAGTTATAGTCATGTTGTACCCCGTTTCCCTCCTCCAGGGAACAGTAGTTATAGTCATGTTGTACCCCGTTTCCCTCCTCCAGGGAACAGTAGTTATAGTCATGTTGTACCCCGTTTCCCTCCTCCAGGGAACAGTAGTTATAGTCATGTTGTACCCCGTTTCCCTCCTCCAGGGAACAGTAGTTATAGTCATGTTGTACCCCGTTTCCCTCCTCCAGGGAACAGTAGTTATAGTCATGTTGTACCCCGTTTCCCTCCTCCAGGGAACAGTAGTTATAGTCATGTTGTACCCCGTTTCCCTCCTCCAGGGAACAGTAGTTATAGTCATGTTGTACCCCGTTTCCCTCCTCCAGGGAACAGTAGTTATAGTCATGTTGTACCTCGTTTCCCTCCTCCAGAGAACAGTAGTTATAGTCATGTTGTACCCCGTTTCCCTCCTCCAGGGAACAGTAGTTATAGTCATGTTGTACCTCGTTTCCCTCCTCCAGGGAACAGTAGTTATAGTCATGTTGTACCCCGTTTCCCTCCTCCAGGGAACAGTAGTTATAGTCATGTTGTACCCCGTTTCCCTCCTCCAGGGAACAGTAGTTATAGTCATAACGTTACATTAGTGTGTGTTAGAGGAGCGATATCAAACATCAAATATATGGAAATCGCATGTTTGACTCCGTTCCATTGATTCCATTCCAATGAGCCCGTCCTCCTATAGCTCCTCCCACCAGCCTCCACTGGTGTGTGTGTACTACTTAGTGCAGCCTGAGGTTGTCTGAAGAGATGGTACAGAGATGACTGTCTGGTAGAGTTGACTGGTAGACTGTTCAAAAATCACTTTAAATATACACTAACTCTGTTCAGTAGGAGGTGTGTGTGTGTGTGTGTGTGTGTGTGTGTCTGTGTGTTTACTCTGTTCAGTAGGAGGTGTGTGTGTGTGTTGAGACTTCTAGCTCACTCAGGAAAAGAAAAAAGAGAAAAAAAAACAATAATATATATATATATATAAAAGAGAAGCAAATGGGTCTGATGTGTTCAATCAAAGTTTCTTAGATGCTCGGATATGTTACGTTATGTGCGCATGCGCAGCTTCACTAGAGACTTAAATTATGGCACCTGGTAATCATTTCACGGCAGACAATCATCAGGAGCACACAGGCCGTTGGTATGTAACTGCGAACTACTCACAGTCTAGCATTAATGTTTAAGTCACTTATATGTTTGAGCACTGAACGTTTACCTCACTGTGTCGGTGTTAGTTGGCCGAGAGTAACCTGTAGCTCAGCGACCCAGATGCTGTATAGCATTAGGCTATCATTATCAGCCATTTGCGTTGTGCTGATTGTTCGGAGCACTCTGCTGGTTTCTGGTGGCGGTGGTGATAGCGGTGGTTTGGTTCGGTGATCCATGGTGGAGCGCCGCGTTGTGTTGCGTTTGTGCGTATGTGGGTCCTTTGTACGAGGCATGTGGTGGCATGGGTTCTGTGTCCTGTGGCAGCGTCCGTGGCAACGGCGGAGTCGCTGTGCGCATGCTCCTCTGGCGCTAGGCATTCTGGGTGATGTAGTCAATGTTGTTTTAAGCCAGATTTACCACATTTTTGATGGTGTTGTAGGCTTATTTGATTTTCATTATTACATTATTATTATATTATATTATTTGAATAATATTTACATTATATATTTGAATAATATATTGTCATTATTTGTTTGTTGTAATTCAGGTTTATGACCTATGGTCATTTGATTTAAAATAAAATTAAGGACAAAACACGAGTCATGACATTGTGTGCTTCCTGGTGAGCCTTTTTGGAGGGCTAAATAACGGAAAATCCGAACAGTGTGTGTGTGTGTTTACTCTGTTTAGTTGGAGGGGGTGTGTGTGTGTGTGTGTGTGTGTGTGTGGTGTGTGTTTACTCTGTTTAGTTGGGTGTGTGTGTGTGTGTGTATTTACTCTGTTTAGTTGGAGGTGTGTGTGTGTGTGTGTGTTTAGTTGGGTGTGTGTGTGTATTTACTCTGTTTAGTTGGAGGTGTGTGTGTCTGTGTGTGTATTTACTCTGTTTAGTTGGAGGTGTGTGTGTGTGTGTGTATTTACTCTGTTTAGTTGGTGTGTGTGTGTGTATTTACTCTGTTTAGTTGGAGGGGTGTGTGTGTGTGTGTGTGTGTGTGTGTGTGTGTATTTACTCTGTTTAGTTGGAGGTGTGTGTGGTGTGTGTGTGTGTGTATTTACTCTGTTTAGTTGGAGTGTGTGGTGGTTGGTGTGTGTGTGTGTATTTACTCTGTTTAGTTGGAGGTGTGTGTGTGTGTGTGTGTGTGTATTTACTCTGTTTAGTTGGGGTGTGTGGTGTTGTGTGTATTTACTCTGTTTAGTTGGAGGTGTGTGTGTGTGTGATTTACTCTGTTTAGTTGGAGGTGTGGGTGGTTGTGTGTGTGTATTTACTCTGTTTAGTTGGAGGTGTGTGTGTGTGTGTGTGTGTATTTACTCTGTTTAGTTGGAGGTGTGTGTGTGTGTATTTACTCTGTTTAGTTGGAGGTGTGTGTGTGTGTATTTACTCTGTTTAGTTGGAGGTGTGTGTGGTGTGTGTATTTACTCTGTTTAGTTGGAGGTGGTGGTGTGTGTGTGTATTTACTCTGTTAGTTGGAGTGTGTGTGTGGTGTATTTACTTGTTTAGTTGGGGTGTGGTGTGTGTATTTACTCTGTTTAGTTGGAGGTGTGTGTGTCTGTGGGTGTGTTTTACTTGTTTAGTTGGAGGTGTGTGGTGTGTGTGTGTGTATTTACTCTGTTTAGTTGGGGTGTGTGTGTGTGTGTATTTACTCTGTTTAGTTGGAGGTGTGTGTGTGTGTGTATTTACTCTGTTTAGTTGGAGGTGTGTGTGTGTGTGTTTTACTCTGTTTAGTTGGAGTGTGTGTGTGTGGTGTGTGTATTTACTCTGTTTAGTTGGAGGGGTTGTGTGTGTTGTATTGTTAGTGGTGTTGTGGGTGTGTTTTACTTGTTTTAGTTGGGAGGTGTGTTGTGGTGTGGTTATTACTCTGTTTAGTTGGAGGTGTGTGGTGTGTGTGTGTTGTGTGTATTTACTCTGTTTAGTTGGAGGTGTGTATTATCTGTTGTGTGGAGGTTGTGTGTGGTGTTGTGTGTATTTACTCTGTTTAGTTGGAGGTGTGTGTGTGTGTGTATTATTACTCTGTTTAGTTGGAGGTGTGTGTGTGTGTATTTACTCTGTTTAGTTGGAGGTGTGGTGTGTGTGTATTTTTGTTTTGTGTGTTGTGTTGTGTGTGATTTACTTGTTGTTGAGGTGTGTGGTTGTGTGTGTGTATTTACTCTGTTTAGTTGGAGGTGTGTGTGTGTGTGTGTGTTGTATTTACTCGTTTAGTTGGAGGGTGTGTGTGTGGTGTGGATTTACTATGTTTAGTTGGAGGTGTGGTGTGTGTGTATTTACTCTGTTTAGTTGGAGGTTGTGTGTGTGTGTGTGTATTTACTCTGTTTAGTTGGAGGTGTGTGTGTGTGTGTATTACTCTGTTTAGTTGGAGGGTGTGTGTGTGTGTGTGTGTGTGTGTGTGTATTTACTCTGTTTAGTTGGAGGTGTGTGTGTGTGTGTGTGTGTGTATTTACTCTGTTTAGTTGGAGGTGTTCCTGCCAGTAGTTGATAGGAGACGTTCAGTGGCAGGTACCCTCCCTTGTCTACCCACAATGCACTGCTGGAGACAGTCCGGCCCTGCCACACCTGCTCCCCCTGAAACACACACACACACGAGAGTTTCTGAGTTAAATGTGAAAGAGACATAATGCACGGAGCAGCCAGAATAGCAACACAATTCCTTTCTGTAGTGGGTGTTAGCTAAGACCATGTGTGACAGGGCAGTCAGGTTCAGCAGCATTCAGCCTGGTTTCCCTGTAGGTCTTGGCTTTGAGCCATCACTAAGTCAACTCAGCTTGCCCTGCCATAAACTAGTTGTATTATTATATATACAGAACCTTGAGTTAAGGTCTCTGTATTAACTGTGCTATACAAACACAGTTTTTTTTATAATACTATTATCCCCCAGCCCTAGTCTGAACACAGACACAAACACGCCCAGCAGCAGACACTGATTCAATCCATTTCAACCTGACCCTCAATGTTTACAGTGTCTTTGCAAATGACTGCCACTGCAAACATGTGAGTGTGAGAGTGTGTGTGTGAGTGTGAGAGTGTGTGTGTGAGAGAGTGTGTGGAGAGTGTGTGTGTGTTAGGTGTGTGTGTGTGTGTGTGTGTTAGGTGTGTGTGTGTACTCACGGTGCTCCTGAACTCCAGCGGGAGCATGAGGTAAAGGATGGTGAGGAGGAGGAACACTGCTGCCATGGTGACACTCCGCTTACAGGACCACCGCATCGCCCCTACCACACAGGCTCCTTTGTTACTCAGTCAGCACATCAGTCAATAATTCAGTAGGTGTTTACAGACAGGTAGGAGAGAGACAGGTAGGCGAGAGAAAGACTGGCAGTCGACAGAAAGGCAGTAAGGAGACAGGCAGTAAAGAGACAGGGAGTAAAGAGACAGGCAGTAAAGAGACAGGCAGTAAAGAGACAGGCAGTAGACAGACAAGGCAGTAAGGAGACAGGCAGTAAGAGACAGGCAGTAGACAGAAACAGGCAGTAAGAACCAGGCAGTAAAGAGACAGGTAAAAGAGACAGGCAGTAGACAGAAAGGCAGTAGTAAAGAGACAGGCAGTAACAGAAAGGCAGTAAAGAGACAGGCTAGCAGTAGAGTAAGAGACAGGCAGTAAAGAGACAGGCATAAAGAGACAGGCAGTAGACAGAAAGGCAGTAAAGAGACAGGCAGTAAGAGACAGAGAGGCAGGCAGTAAAGAGACAGGCATTTGAACAGAGACAGGCAGTAAAGAGACAGGCAGTAAAGAGACAGGCAGTAAAGAGACAGGCAGTAAAGAGACAGGCAGTAGACAGAAAGGCAGGCAGTAAAGAGACAGGCAGTAAAGAGCAGGCAGTAGGACAGAAAGGCAGTAGACAGAAAGGCAGTAAAGAGACAGGCATAAAGGAGACAGGCAGTAGACAGACAGGCAGTAAAGAGACAGGCAGTTAGACAGAAAGGCAGTAGAGAGGAGAGAAGGCAGTAAGGAGAGACAAAGGCAGGTAGAGCAGAAGAGCAGCCAGGCAGTAAAGAGACAGGCAGTAAAGAGACAGGCAGTAGACAGAAAGGCAGGCAGTAAAGAGACAGGCAGTAAAGAGACAGGCAGTAGACAGAAAGGCAGTAGACAGAAAGGCAGTAAAGAGACAGGCAGTAAAGAGACAGGCAGTAGACAGACAGGCAGTAAAGAGACAGGCAGTAGACAGAAAGGCAGTAAGGAGACAGGCAGTAAGGAGACAGGCAGTAAAGTGACAGGCAGTAGACAGAAAGGCAGGCAGTAAAGAGACGGGCAGTAACGAGACAGGCATTAGACAGAAAGGCAGTAAGGAGACAGGCAGTAAAGAGACAGGCAGTAGACAGAAAGGCAGTAGACAGAAAGGCAGTAAAGAGACAGGCAGTAAAGAGACAGGCAGAGTAACAGAGCAGGCAGTAAAGAGACAGGCAGTAAAGAGACAGGCAGTAGAGAAAGCAGTAGACAGAAAGCAGTAAGGAGACAGGCAGTAAGAGACAGGCAGTAAGACAGGATAAGGCAGGCAGTGAAGGAGACAGGCAGTAAGGAGACAGGCAGTAAAGAGACAGGCAGTAAAGAACAGGCAGTAAAGAGACAGGCAGTAGACAGAAAGGCAGGCAGTAAAGAGACAGGCAGTAAAGAGACAGGCAGTAGACAGACAGGCAGTAAAGAGACAGGCAGTTGACAAAAAGGCAGTAAGGAGACAGGCAGTAAGGAGACAGGCAGTAAAGAGACAGGCAGTAGACAGAAAGGCAGGGCAGTAAGAGACAGGCAGTAAAGAGACAGGCAGTAGACAGAAAGGCAGGCAGTAAAGAGACAGGCAGTAAGAGAGCAGGCATAGACAGAAAGGCATTTAAAGAGACAGGCAGTAAAGGACAGGCAGTAAAGAACAGGCAGTAGACAGAAAGGCAGTAGACAGACAGGCAGTAGCAGAAGGCAGTAAGGAGACAGGCAGTAAAGGAGACAGGCAGTAGGACAGTAAAGGCAGGCAGTAAAGAGACAGGCAGTAAGAGACAGGCATTAGACAGAAAGGCAGTAAGGAGACAGGCAGTAAGAGACCAGGCAGTAGACAGAAAGGCAGTAGAAGAAGGCAGTAAGACACATAAGAAAGGCAGTAAGAACAGCAGTAAAGAGAGGCAGTAAAGAGACAGGCAGTAGAAGAACAGGCAGGCAGTAAAGAGACAGGCAGTAAAGAGAAGAAGCAGACAGCAGTAAAGAGACAGGCAGATTGACAGAAAGCAGGCAGTAAAGAGACAGGCAGTAAGAGACAGGCAGTAACGAGACAGGCATTAGACAGAAAGGCAGTAAGGAGACAGGCAGTAAAGAGACAGGCAGTAGACAGAAAGGCAGTAAGGAGACAGGCAGTAAAGAGACAGGCAGTAGACAGAAAGGCAGGCAGTAAAGAGACAGGCAGTAGAAGAAAGGCAGTAGACAGAAGGCAGTAAGGAGACAGGCAGTAAGGAGACAGGCAGTAAAGAGGCAGGCAGTAAGAGAGACAGGCAGTAAGAGACAGATAGACAGGCAGTAAGGAGACAGGCAGTTAAAGAGACAGGCAGTAGAGACAGGCAGTAGACAGAAAGCAGTAGACAGGCAGTAAAGAGGCAGAGTAAAAAGGAGACAGGCAGTAAGAGACAGCAGGCAGTAACGAAAGGCAGTAAGGAAACAGGCAGTAAAGAGACAGGCAGTAGACAGAAGGGCAGTAAGGGAGACAGGCAGTAAAGAGAAGGCAGAGAAAGACAGGCAGTAAAGAGACAGGCAGTAAAGAGACAGGCAGTAGACAGGCAGTAAGGAGACAGGCAGTAAGAGACAGGCAGTAAGAGACAGGCAGTAAGAGAAAGGCAGTAGACAGAAAGACAGGCAGTAACAGAGACAGGCAGTAAAGAGACAGCAGTAAGAGACAGGCAGTAGACAGAAAGGCAGTAAGGAACAGGCAGTAAAGAGAGCAGTAAGAGACAAAGGCAGAAAGAGTACAAAGCAGTAAGAGACAGGCAGTAAGAAACAGGCAGTAACAGAAGGCAGTAAGGAGACAGGCAGTAAAGAAACAGGCAGTAAAGAGACAGGCAGTAAAGAGACAGGCAGTAAAGAGACAGGCAGTAAAGAGACAGGCAGTAAAGAGACAGGCAGTAGACAGAAAGGCAGTCAGTAAAGAGACAGGCAGTAAGAGACAGGCAGTAGACAAAAGCAGTAAAGAGACAAGGCAGTAAAGGGGAACGCAGTAAAGAGACAGGCAGTAAAGAGACAGGCAGTAGACAGAAACAGGGGCAGTAAAGAGACAGAGCAGTCAAAGAGACATGCAGTAAAGAGAAGGCAGTAGACTAAAAGCAGTAAAGAGACAGGCAGTAAAGAAACAGGCAGTAGACAGAAAGGCAGTAAGGAGACAGGCAGTAAAGAAACAGGCAGTAAAGAGACAGGCAGTAAAGAGACAGGCAGTAAAGAGACAGGCAGTAGACAGAAAGGCAGTAAAGAGACAGGCAGTAAAGAGACAGGCAGTAAAGAGACAGGCCGTAGACAGAAAGGCAGTAGAGAGACAGGCAGTAAAGAGACAGGCAGTGCTTTGTTTGTGGAAGAATGTGAGATAGCTATATTGTCAACATTGAGTTGTGCTGGTTAATGGTCCGTCCATACAGCTGACATTAACGTTACAGCCTTGTTTGCTTGTAGCTAGCTAATGTTTCTGGCTAACATTAGCTAACTGGCAATAGCAGCCAATGAATTACGCTATCTTATTTGTTCTGATTACACACAAGTGTCACATGTCAAGGCCAACAGTTTACAAAGATGACTTCAGCCATGTGAAAAACGTACCATAGCAAACTATAGCTAGCTTCCTTTGCTTGTAGCTTACCTCTCATCTGACTGGTGTTAGCTAGCTACTAGTGCTGTTGCTGTGCAACCCAAGTGCTTTGGTCCGGTTTTAGAACTCTGAGATTCGGCTGAAAAGTTGTTAACCATTATCACAACTACTACAAAAAAGGTAGCACATCGTTGGTTCTTAAAATGGACAGAAATTAGCACTTGAGAGCGATAGATTATCCATTTTATAAAGACTGTTGCCCCTACAAACGTATTCAGTCTGAAAGGTGGCAAGTCTAATGGTTACTTTTTGGACGCTGTAGCCTCGTTTTAATCAAACGCCTAGAATTTGAGCTAAGTTTGGGGGGGGGGGAATTGTCCTGCGACCCTAATGCTAACAACCCTGTCAAAATCCGGTATAGTGGTTCTCGGTAACGGCCAGACGGATCATTTATTTTATTTATTTTTTTGATGAGAGGTGGGAGTGTGTTGTGTACCTCCAATCAAGTTGATGTGCACATTTCCATCGACATTGGTGTCACATTGGCTTAGATATGATCATAGGGAGATTTAACATTGGGCTTCAATTAATGCATATACTATTGTGGGGAAGATATAGCCTAGCGTAGCGACATGCATGATTACAAACAGGCCTAAAACATATAGCCTAGCCTAGCGACATGCATGATCACAAACAGGCCTATAAGCCTAAAATATATAGCCTAGCCTAGCGACATGCATATAGCCTAGCCCAGAGACATGTATTATTGCCTATAAGCCTATAAAATATACCGCAGAAACATGTATTTATTTATTAATTCTTGTCCATTTATTTAAACTCGACCGATAACCCCGTCGCCTGAATACCTACACTGTCAAGCCCTGGCCTTGAGAGCCCGGTTTTCTCTAGTTGGTTTGGTGAGGGTGTGAATATCTATGGATAGATTCTATGTGTAGATCTAGAATGAGTAGATCTATGTTGGCCTGGTGTGGTTCCCAATCAGAGGCAGCGGTCGATCGTTGTCTCTGATTGGGGATCATCCTTAGGCAGCCATTTTGCCTACCTATGTTGTGGGATCTTGTTTCTGTGTGTTTGGCTTGTTTGATGTTTAGCCTTTAGAACTTCACGTTACTTTGTCGGTGTTTATATAATAAACAAACATGTACGCATACCACGCTGCACTTTGGTCCAATCCTGTACTCAACGAACGTGACATACAGTGCCTTCTGAAAGTATTCACACCCCTTGACCTTTTCCACATTTTGTAGTTACAAAGTGGGATTAAAATGGATTTAATTGTCAATGTTGTTGATCCATCCTCAGTTTTCTCCTATCACAGCCATTAAACTCTGTAGTGTTGGTGAAATCCCTGAGCCTTCCTCTCTGGACACTGAGTTAGGAAGGATGCCAGTATATGTACAGTGGGGAGAACAAGTATTTGATACACTGCCGATTTTGCAGGTTTTCCTACTTACAAAGCATGTAGAGGTCTGTAGTTTTTATCATAGGTACACTTCAACTGTGAGAGACGGAATCTAAAACAAAAATCCAGAAAATCACATTGTATGATTTTTAAGTAATTAATTTGCATTTTATTGCATGACATAAGTATTTGATCACCTACCAACTAGTAAGAATTCCGGCTCTCACAGACCTGTTAGTTTTTCTTTAAGAAGCCCTCCTGTTCTCCACTCATTACCTGTATTAACTGCACCTGTTTGAACTCGTTACCTGTATAAAAAGACACCTGTCCACACACTCAATCAAACAGACTCCAACCTCTCCACAATGGCCAAGACCAGAGAGCTGTGTAAGGACATCAGGGATAAAATGGTAGACCTGCACAAGGCTGGGATGGGCTACAGGACAATAGGCAAGCAGCTTGGTGAGAAGGCAACAACGGTTGGCGCAATTATTAGAAAATGGAAGAAGTTCAAGATGATGGTCAATCACCCTCGGTCTGGGGCTCCATGCAAGATCTCACCTCGTGGGGCATCAATGATCATGAGGAAGGTGTGGGATCAGCCCATAACTACACAGCAGGACCTGGTCAATGACCTGAAGAGATCTGGGACCACAGTCTCAAAGAAAACCATTAGTAACACACTACGCCGTCATGGATTAAAATCCTGCAGCGCACGCAATGTCCCCCTGCTCAAGCCAGCGCATGTCCAGGCCCGTCTGAAGTTTGCCAATGACCATCTGGATGATCCAGAGGAGGAATGGGAGAAGGTCATGTGGTCTGATGAGACAAAAATATAGCTTTTTGGTCTAAACTCCACTCGCCGTGTTTGGAGGAAGAAGAAGGATGAGTACAACCCCAAGAACACCATCCCAACCGTGAAGCATGGAGGTGGAAACATCATTCTTTGGGGATGCTTTTATGCAAAGGGGACAGGACGACTGCACCGTATTGAGGGGAGGATGGATGGGGCCATGTATCGCGAGATCTTGGCCAACAACCTCCTCCCTCAGTAAGAGCATTGAAGATGGGTTGTGGCTGGGTCTTCCAGCATGACAACAACCCGAAACACACAGCCAGGGCAACTAAGGAGTGCCTCCGTAAGATGCATCTCAAGGTCCTGGAGTGGCCTAGCCAGTCTCCAGACCTGAGCCCAATAGAAAATATTTGGAGGGAGCTGAAAGTCTGTATTGCCCAGCGACAGCCCTGAAACCTGAAGGATCTGGAGAAGGTCTGTATGGAGGAGTGGGCCAAAATCCCTGCTGCAGTGTGTGCAAACCTGGTCAAGACCTACAGGAAACGTATGATCTCTGTAATTGCAAACAAAGGTTTCTGTACCAAATATTAAGTTCTGCTTTTCTGATGTATCAAATACTTATGTCATGCAATAAAATGCAAATTAATTACTTAAAAATCATACAATGTGATTTTCTGGATTTTTGTTTTAGATTCCGTCTATCACAGTTGAAGTGTACCTATGATAAAAATTACAGACCTCTACATGCTTTGTAAGTAGGAAAACCTGCAAAATCGGCAGTGGATCAAATACTTGTTCTCCCCACTGTATAGTGACTGGGTGTATTGATACACCATCCAAAGTGTAATTAATAACTTCACCATGCTCAAAGGGATATTCAATGTCTGCTTTTTTATTTTTACCCATCTACCAATAGGTGCCCTTCTTTGCGAGGCATTGGAAAACCTCCCTGGTCTTTGTGGTTGAATCTGTGTTTGAAATTCACTGCTCGACTGAGGGACCTTACAGATAATTGTATGTGTGGGGTACAGAGATGGGGTAGTCATTCAAAAATCATGTTAAACACTATTATTGCACACAGAGTCCATGCAACTTATTATGTGACTTGTTAAGCACATTTTTACTCCTGAACTAACAGCATTTAGGCTTGCCATAACAAAGGGGTTGAACACTTATTGACACAAGACATTTCAGCTTTTCATTTTGAATTAAATTTGTAAACATTTATAAAACATAATTCCACTTTTGACATGGGGTGTGTAAATCAGTGACACAAAATCTAAATTTAATCCATTGTAAAAAATTAAGGTTGTAACACAACAAAATGTGGAAAAAGTAAATGGGTGAGAATACCTTCTGAAGGCAACCTGGAAACAGGTCTGGGGCCAGTGAGTGACACACCTGATTCCAACAGTCCAGACACACGCTCAGATCTTTACAAATACATGGAGAAATATCCAACATCTCTGGAAGCACCTTAACATGATATAAGGAATACCTGGGATAGGATAAAAGTAATCCTTCTACCCTCCCCCTACCCCACCCCCCCAAAAAAATAATAATAAAAATACATAAAATAAATATATATATATATATATATATAGTAAAGTGGTTGTCCCACTGGCTATCATAAGGTGAATGCACCAATTTGTAAGTCGCTCTGGATAAGAGCGTCTGCTAAATGACGTAAATGTAAATATAACAACCCCCAGCCCCATATCTGAGCATGGAATGTGTATCTGGGACACACATGTAAAACATCTACTGACTAGGCTAGATACGCTCAGCCTTTTACTGCGTTCAGACCTGTGAATAAACAGTAGGCCTATAGGTTAGTGGTTTGGCAGTATTCTCCCCAGCCTGGTCCTTCTGTGAATAAACAGTAGGCCTATAGGTTAGTGGTTTGGCAGTATTCTCCCCAGCCTGGTCCTTCTGTGAATAAACAGTAGGCCTATAGGTTAGTGGTTTGGCAGTATTCTCCCCAGCCTGGTCCTTCTGTGAATAAACAGTAGGCCTATAGGTTAGTGGTTTGGCAGTATTCTCCCCAGCCTGGTCCTTCTGGTGTTTTAATAGTCTAGCTAGCCTGCACATAAACCGAAGCCTAGACTAGTGTGTAATGTGTGAGTATTATGGGTAAGCTAAGCGTGAGACAGGACGAACTACTTGACAGATGAATAAACTCTATTGATCGGATTGCAACTCACCTGTTGTCAGTGTGACTTGACGTCTTTACTGAACGGAGCTCTGCTGTCACTTCAGACGACCACACCCACACTCACCTGTTAATACACACAGTTGGGAATGGATTATTTGGAGTTTTTTTAACGTTCGTTTCGTTTTTAATTTGCGTTTTATCACCTGCGTCAATCTGCTCTCTCGTTAGAAGGCGGTATGAGAGCGCGTGCTGCTGTTAGTCAGTCGGTCCCTTCGCCTTCGGTTCATATCTCCCGGTACTTCCTGGTGTTTGTGTGTGGGCGGTTAGTGCTATCTGGTATCCTTGGGACGTCCATACCCTAAACCCTACCCTTACTATTTGAAATATGTAACTTGTTTGGGCCACTCGACCAAATTCACATAGAAATGTGAGTTATAGATCAATCATTCTCGTTGAACGCAAGTCTAAGAAGCGGTAGATCTGTTCTATGTGCTCTATTTCTGTTACCTGTCTTTCACTTTTGGTTTTGTACACCAGCTTCAAAGAGCTGAAAAGACAAGCGGTTGAGGTACAATGATTTTCTACACTATCATTGTTTGTTTTGTCACTTAAACTGAAATTAGGAGGACTATTAGAATTTTAGCAACTAGGAAATGGCGGAGCATTTCTACATAGTGCATTTACCCAGTCCCATATTATTATTATTATTATTATTATTATTATTACATTTCAACTTCAATGGGGTAGAGACATCCCAAGGATACCTGATAGCAAGAACAGTGTGTGTCTCCCAAGTCATTTCTTTTCAGGCAGACCAGTTTAGAGAGAAGCCTGTATGGGTGAGTGCAGGCAGACCAGTTTAGAGAGAAGCCTGTATGGGTGAGTGGGCAGAGGGCCAGTTTAGAGAGAAGCCTGTATGGGTGAGTGGGTAGGCCAGTTTAGAGAGAAGCCTGTATGGGTGAGTGGGTAGGGGGCCAGTTTAGAGATAGAAGCCTGTATGGGTGAGTGGGTAGGGGGCCAGTTTAGAGATAGAAGCCTGTATGGGTGAGTGGGTAGGGGGCCAGTTTAGAGATAGAAGCCTGTATGGGTGAGTGGGTAGGGGGCCAGTTTAGAGATAGAAGCCTGTATGGGTGAGTGGGTAGGGGGCCAGTTTAGAGATAGAAGCCTGTATGGGTGAGTGGGTAGGGGGCCAGTTTAGAGATAGAAGCCTGTATGGGTGAGTGGGTAGGGGGCCAGTTTAGAGATAGAAGCCTGTATGGGTGAGTGGGTAGGGGGCCAGTTTAGAGATAGAAGCCTGTATGGGTGAGTGGGTAGGGGGCCAGTTTAGAGATAGAAGCCTGTATGGGTGAGTGGGTAGGGGCCAGTTTAGAGATAGAAGCGTATGGTGAGTGGGTAGGGGACCAGTTTAGAGATAGAAGCCTGTATGGGTGAGTGGGTAGGGGGCCAGTTTAGAGATAGAAGCCTGTATGGGTGAGTGGGTAGGGGGCCAGTTTAGAGATAGAAGCCTGTATGGGTGAGTGCATGTGTGGCACAGGAGGCTGGTGGCTCCCTAATTGGGGAGGAAGGGCTCGTGGTAATGACTGGAGCGGAATCAGTGGAATGGTATCAAATACATCAAACACATGGTTTCCAGGTGTTTGATGCCATTCCATTTGCTCCGTGCCAGACATTATTAGGAGCCGTCCTCTCATCAGCATCCTCCACTGTGGTCCTCTGTAGCTCAGCTGGTAGAGCACGGCGCTTGTAACGCCAAGGTAGTGGGTTCGATCCCCGGGACCACCCATACACAAAAATGTATGCACGCATGACTGTAAGTCGCTTTGGATAAAAGCGTCTGCTAAATGGCATATTACATTACATTACATATTACATATTACATATTACACTGATGTGTGCTAAGGTGCAGAGAATCAGAGCTGGTGGTCAATCTAGTTCACGTCTTCAGCAGTTTGCTGGAGCCTGTTGTTATCAGACCTCATGCTCCGATACCGTCTGCCTGGCGCTAAGGGAATGAACAGCTCGTGGCTAGAGTGTGTGTGGTCCTTGATTATGCAGCGGGCCTTCCTCAGGCACCGTTTAGAGTACATCTCCTGGATGGGTGGGAGCACGGTCCCAGTGATGTCCTGGATGGGTGGGAGCACGGTCCCAGTGATGTCCTGGATGGGTGGGAGCACGGTCCAGTGATGTCTGGATGGGTGGGAGCACGGTCCCAGTGATGTCCTGGATGGGTGGGAGCACGGTCCCAGTGATGTCCTGGATGGGTGGGAGCACGGTCCCAGTGATGTCCTGGATGGGTGGGAGCACGGTCCCAGAGATGTCCTAGATGGGTGGGAGCACGGTCCCAGGATGTCCTGATGGGTGGGAGCACGGTCCAGAGATGTCCTAGATGGGTGGGAGCACGGTCCCAGTGATGTCTGGATGGTAGAATACGGTCCCAGTGATGTCCTGGATGGTGGGAGCACGGTCCAGTGATTGTGGATGGGTGGAGCAATTCCGTCCAGTATGTCCTGGATGGGGGGACCACCGGTCCAGTGATGTCCCGATGGGTGAGAGCGTCCCAGTGATGTCCTGGAGGGTGGGAGCACGGTGCCAGTGATGTCTTGCCGTTGGGTGGGAGCAGGCCCTGATGTCCTGGATTGGTGGACACGGTCCAGTGATGTGCCCGGTGGGTGGAGCACGTCCAGTGATCCCGGATGGTGGGACAGGTCCAGATCATGTCCTGGATGGTGGGAGCACGTCCCGTGATGTCCTGGATGGGTTGGGAGACGGTCCCATGATTAACTGCCCTTCACAGCCTACTGAAGGTCCTTGCTGGGGTTTGTGGATGGAGCAATTCAGTTACCAGGCCGTGATGGCACAGTCAGGACGCTCTCGATGGTGCAGGGGTATTGGTAGTTTGGAGCAGCAGCACTTCTGGGGTGGCATGCCACATTTCTTCAGCCGCCTTAGGAAGTATCTGAGGCCCGCACCCGACCCTAATCTGCTAATATACAGTAGAACATGTGCTGTAGGTCTAAGCTACTGTCAGAGACGGCTACAGTCAGATCCCCATTAGTTCCTGCCAAGGCAGCAGCTACTCTTCCTGGGGTTTATTATGGATCCCCATTAGTTCCTGCCAAGGCAGCAGCTACTCTTCCTGGGGTTTATTATGGATCCCCATTAGTTCCTGCCAAGGCAGCAGCTACTCTTCCTGGGGTTTATTATGGATCCCCATTAGTTCCTTCAAGGCAGCAGCTACTCTTCCTGGGGTTTTATTATGGATCCCCATTAGTTCACTGCCAAGGCAGCAGCTACTCTTCCTGTGGTTTTATTATGGATCCCCATTAGTTCCTGCCAAGGCAGCAGCTACTCTTCCTGGGGTTATTTAGTGGATCCCCATTAGTTCCTGCCAAGGCAGCAGCTACTCTTCCTGGGGTTTTATCTAGGAATCCCCAGTAGTTAATGCCAATTGCCAAGCAGCTAGCTACTCTTCCTGGGGTTTATTATGGATCCCCATTAGTTCCTGCCAAGGCAGCAGCTACTCTTCCTGGGGTTATTATGGATCCCCATTAGTTCCTTCCAAGGCAGCAGCTACTCTTCCTGGGGTTTATTATGGATCCCCATTATTCCTGCCAAGGCAGCAGCTACTCTTCCTGGGGTTTATTATGGATCCCCATTAGTTCCTGCCAAGGCAGCAAAGGCAGCAGCTACTCTTCCTGGGTTTATTATGGATCCCCATTAGTTCCTGCCAAGACAGCAGCTACTCTTCCTGGGTTTATTATGGATCCCCATTAGTTCCTGCCAAGGCAGCAGCTACTCTTCCTGGGGTTTATTATGGATCCCCATTAGTTCCTGCCAAGGCAGCAGCTACTCTTCCTGGGGTTTATTATGGATCCCCATTAGTTCCTGCCAAGGCAGCAGCTACTCTTCCTGGGGTTTATTATGGATCCCCATTAGTTCCTGCCAAGGCAGCAGCTACTCTTCCTGGGGTTTATTATGGATCCCCATTAGTTCCTTCCAAGGCAGCAGCTACTCCTCCTGGGGTTTATTATGGATCCCCATTAGTTCCTTCCAAGGCAGCAGCTACTCTTCCTGGGGTTTATTATGGATCCCCATTAGTTCCTGCCAAGGCAGCAGCTACTCTTCCTGGGATCCAAACAAATCGAATCAAACTTTATTTGTCACATGCGGCCGAATACAACAGGTGTAGACCTTACCGTAAAATGCTTACTTACAAGCCCTTAACCAACAATGCAGTTCAAGAAAGAGTTAAGAAAATATTTACTAAATAAACTAAAGTAAAAAATAATAAAAGGTAACACAATACAATAACAATAACGAGGCTATATACAGGGGGTACCGGTACCGAGTCAATGGGCTGGGGTACAGGTTAGTCAAGGTAATTTGTACATGTAGGTAGGGGTAAAGTGACTATACATAGATAATACAGTGGGGGAAAAAAGTATTTAGTCAGCCACCAATTGTGCAAGTTCTCCCGACTTAAAAAGATGAGAGAGGCCTGTAATTTTCATAATAGGTACACGTCAACTATGACAGACAAAACGAGAAATAAAAATCCAGAAAATCACATTGTAGGATTTTTAATGAATTTATTTGCAAATTATGGTGGAACATTAGTATTTGGTCAATAACAAAAGTTTCTCAATACTTTGTTATATACCCTTTGTTGGCAACGACACAGGTCAAACATTTTCTGTAAGTCTTCACAAGGTTTTCACACACTGTTGCTGGTATCTTGGCCCATTCCTCCATGCAGATCTCCTCTAGAGCAGTGATGTTTTGGGGCTGTCGCTGGGCAACACGGACTTTCAACTCCCTCCAAAGATTTTCTATGGGGTTGAGATCTGGAGACTGGCTAGGCCACTCCAGGACCTTGAAATGCTTCTTACGAAGCCACTCCTTTGTTGCCCGGGCGGTGTGTTTGGGATCATTGTCATGCTGAAAGACCCAGACACATTTAATCTTCAATGCCCTTGCTGATGGAAGGAGGTTTTCACTCAAAATCTCACGATACATGGCCCCATTCATTCTTTCCTTTACACGGATCAGTCGTCCTGGTCCCTTTGCAGAAAAACAGCCACAAAGCATGATGTTTCCACCCCCATGCTCCACAGTAGGTATGGTGTTCTTTGGATGCAACTCAGCATTCTTTGTCCTCCAAACACGACGAGTTGAGTTTTTACCAAAAAGTTCTATTTTGGTTTCATCTGACCAAATGACATTCTCCCAATCCTTTTCTGGATCATCCAAATGCACTCTAGCAAACTTCAG